TACTGAGTTGTGTAACAAAGTATATGATGAATAATGAAACTAAAATGTTTGTTTAATTTGGTCATTTAAAATTGGCATTAAGTGCTTCATATTTTTTTTAACTCAAAAGTAAGATAATTTAGTCAATTAAGATTGTCATTAGAGGTTAGAATACTCCAATTAAACGTCCATATTTTTACTTAATTGTTTCTTGATCATGACAATAGACTATCATACTGGTATGGTATCAGCATTCTGACTAAATAAAAAGGACTACGCTGGGAAGCAAGTTGATTAAAGCTAATGAAATTAAATAAACGGTTCTAAATGTATAATCGATGCCGCCGGAAAATATTTTAACATATGTTCAAATCTTTCTAAAAATCGAAATAAACGTCAATTTAAATACCGCATTTTAACGCTCGCTTTCATTAAGTGGCCGAATTGCCGAATTCAACATTTCTAATGTTCAAGTTCCGAGTTTCAATTCAAATGGCGAATTTCTCAAAATTTTATTCTTGATCAATAATAATTTTCCGGTTGATGTGATTGTGCTGGCCATTTTGACCTTTAAAAAATACACCAAAAAAGTAAAGAAAAACATATTTTTACATTTACGTACACTCATATCTGGAATATAAAGTTGAACTTATGACTGAGAAACATATTTATATATTTTCATAAGAGCGACATTTAAAAACTTTTGTTCAGACTTTTATTCTGCATGCTTAATCAATTATGTCAAACACTTGTTACACATCAAATGAAACTGCAATTTCTTAACAAAATCACGTATCAAGTTAATGTTATGTCTATTTTTATAGCAAGGATATCGATTAAACAATGAACAGAAATTCACATTTATTATCATAGAGAACTAGAAGAAACCTCCACCGGCAGTGGCATACTTGTTAGTTAGCCTTATTTTCTAGTTAAAAAAAATCAGAGAAATAGTTTAATAGTGAAAACCAAGGATTTGTATAGTGAGACTATATAAATCTTTGTGAAAACAAAAAAATTTAAACTTTTTTCTCTCAATATCTTTATTTATAGATTTGTGTCTTTTATCATTTTTTGTTTTTGTTTGTTTTTGTTTGTTTGCTGAATGGGGTGCTTTGTGCCGATCTTATGAGTCAAACTCTTTGCAACCGATTTTTGCAGTTTGTTATTATGTTGAGTTGTTATGGTCCGAGATTATACCGCCGCACTGTACATTTGACTGTTACACTGGTACTGAGATGTTATGACCCCCCAATAACGTTAATATAATACTGGTTCTGAGGAGTTAGAGGTGTATGTCCCCTAAATAACGTTTACATTTGTTTGTTTTTATAGTGATTAAGATGATAACACAATGTTGACTGCTGTACCCCTATTTTTGACATTTTTACCTATTGTGTCTGTTTGTTTTGTTCACGCATCGTTGTCAATATAATGGAATTCGATGCGACTGTCATACAAGTGAGAGGTTTAGCTAGCTATAAAATCATGTTCAATCCACCATTTTCTACATAAGAAAATGCCTGTACCAAGTTAGGAATATGACAGTTGTTATCCATTCGTTTGATGTGTTTGAGCTTTTGATTTTGACATTTGATTAGGGACTTTCCTTTTTGAATTTTCCTGCGGAGTTCAGTATTTTTGTGATTTTACTTTTTATATAACACTTTCACAGAGAAGTTCGACGAATTGACAACTACGCCACGGTTCACTTATAATGGGATACAAATTTTGATTCATGGTCGTCAGACTACTGTGTGTATCCTCTCACTGTAGTGACTTCACCGCAAATTTCCTAAATGTAGTTAATTTTCTGTATGTATGTGTTAAATTAGTTAGTGATTCAATTGCAATGTGTACTTTACTTACCTTCGAATGTTTATTTTTGTTGTTGTTGTAGCTCAGTGGTATTGTTTATCTTTTACACGCACTGGAGATACAGGTAGCCATTTACCGGTCATCTGCCTAATGTAGTGATTTTTCCGAGTATATATTATTCGGACTTTATAGTACTTAAGGGTTTCTGTTTCATTGCGATAAACTCTGCATCTGTTTATTTTTTTCTTACATCTTAATAAGCGGGAATATTTTTAAATGGTCAACATATCTACGCACCACGATAACAGATCACTCAGTGATATTAACATAAAGTTGACCGTTGACAATTCAGACAATGCATTGCAACAAAAAAGATATGTTAGATAAATATCATTAAAAATCTCAATGTATTTCCAAAATTGTCAGTGAATGTAATCTTCAGGTGTTCTTTTTTTTTAAAGAAAAACATGTGAGTACTAAGGATATGTCATATTTTAAAAAGTCGCGACAAATATTTCTTATTTTTGTCTTTTTCCAAATTTCGGATTTTCGAATTAAAAGTGTAATAGAGGAAACCAAATAACCGAATATTCATCATACGTTGACATTGAAATAAGACTGTACTTTATTCTAAGTCGTATAAATTTGGGAAAGCGGAAATATCAGTATAAAAGAGAAACCTTAATATACATCATATCGACATCGACATAAGCCTATTGATTCTACGAAGTCGTAAAAGCTACATGTATACTGTATTCATCAGAAATATAACAGTTGTCTTTATTTTTCTAAAAGATTGGCTCATACTTGTTTCAATAAAAATGTAATTTATCATGTATAATATTACATTTGATATTACGAATTTTCTTTTAAGAAATGCACCTGAAGATTATAGGAAAGAGTAAATATATTCCTATATTATCTTTGATGTAATTCACTAAAAATTAAATCGCCTAAAGAATATAGGATTCTCGGGAACAAATTCCGGACACTTCTGCCTTTACGTAATTTATGGTGACGTTACCGCTGATCAATCGATGTGGTCTTGGATATGGACGTTTCCCCCTGCTGTAACGGATTCGTTCATATAATGTTTAGTAATTATTTTCATAATATTTAAAATTTTTGGTTTTTGACTAATTTAATTTAAAAAGCGTCAAGCTATGATACATAAATATTTTGTTTTTCTCTTTATTTTCCAACTCTAAATATCTATTCAGTTCTGCTGTGTGGTTTTACACACATGATTTAAATTCGTGATTAATTTCGGTCCATTTTTTCAAATCTATTTATGTTTAATATGAAAATCATTTATCATGTTTATAATACAAAATATGGAGAAAAATCTGCCTAGTTTATGCATATTTTAACTGGTGATTTACATGATGTTTTTATTGTTTTCACATATGCCGATTTATATATATATATATATAGTTAAAAATTATTTTTTCTTAAATAATTTTATGCATGCATAAGATTACAATCATTGATTTTTAAACCTTTTTTTTGAGTGAAAGAGATTTTCACCCAATCAGAATAAGACACTCGACCGTGTATGGAAAGAACCAATTAAATGTGTTGTTTTCTCTCAAGTATAAAAAAGAAGAAATTTGCAAATTGTACATTACAACTGTGCAAGAAAGTCGCTAATCAAAAACGTTGAGATTTTGAATAGTGTAGATTTTATCTCTTTAAACTTTACAGCTCCAGCATGTTTCTGAGGGCAACGATTGTTTTGTTGTTTGCTGTTCTTGTTTGTTATAAACAAGGTAGATACTGTGTTTGTTTTAGTATTTATTTTATTTTTTAGATGACAAAACATTTTATTTGTTTGTAAGTAATGAACAGATGAGAAGCTTAGGCAGGTGATGCCAACAGAAACTTAACAGGGTTGGTGCATTTAATTAAGAGTATTTGTCTCATAGTTTTAATATGGAAGCATACATGGAAAAATCACACACATTATTTGTGGTGGTGGAAATTTTATGAAAGTCTTCTCTTTTATATTCTAATCATAATTACTTTTTTTGTTTATAATTAAATTTAATTGCGTGTCTATGCTTATTATCACCAAAAACGATCGTTTACATTTATGACGGACTTCTTATAATCATTTTCTTTGTGCGCGTTATTTCAGATAAGTTGGAGAGAATATTTATTAATATCGTCAAATTTTCTATTACGCATATGGTAGTTCAACAACATTTTTTCCGGGACTTCCATTTCTTTATAATGAATCTCTATTATTTATGTTAAGAATTAAAAGCCTTCATTTCTTTGAATTGTTTAGGGAAGCTACATTGGATTGGGTTCGTTTGTAAAATATCATGAACTGAGAGTTATTGACTTCGCTCCAGCGATTAAATTTGAAATTGATAAGCTTTTTAGAAGTAAGTTAGTTCAAATGTAAAAAAGCTTTTCAAATCGTTAACTTACATATGGAAGTGTTTAAAAATTGTATACCTAAGATATATTTTATAGCTATGGCTATTACAATCTTTTAAAAAGCATTACAATTTGGAATACAGATAGTGGCTATGTAAACATTAAAAACAAACCACTTACTCGGTGTTTTTTTTTCGGGTAACATTATCAAAAATATAAGCTCTTTGTAGTACCTAAAAGAAAGAGTTAGGTATCTATGATACTAAAGGAACAAACTTAGAGCGGTCAGAGATGGCGGAGAAGACAACAACGAACATTATTTAGGTTTGGAAGTCTTTAGAATGCCTGTACCAAGTCAGAAATATGACATTTGGTTTTCACTCGTTCCGTTGATTGATAACGTTTGATTTTGACAGTTTTTATCGACTTCCCCTTTTTGAGTTTACCTTGAAGTTCGGTATTTTTGTTATACTTTTTATTCAAACAATTAAAAGTACCTTGAAAAATTGAATCTTTCAGATAGATCTTTAAGCATAACTTAAAGAATTTTACAAGAAGTTCATTTGATACAATAAGCAAGGATTAAGAATTTGTCCAACTCTAAATACCACAAATTCAGGAAAAATCTATGTTAAAACCTGGTAACTTGTTTTAACAATATACGGAAAGTATTTGGTTTCTAGCGTAGATGTTATAGCATATAATGTTGCAAACTGACAGTTTTACAATTGGTACTGATAGAAATCATCACAAAGACACTATTTTAGTTGACATGTTTTACATATCTGTTTTTTGTTTTGTTTTAGTGAACTGTCTGTGTTCTTGGCCATGCAATTGGCAAGAACGAACATTCTACAATGACGCAGCCAAAGTAGATCTTCTTGTGCCAAATGCATATCAATTAAAACTTGCACCTGACAATGTTATAGAGTGTTTGATTAGAGAAGGACCGTTCATTGTTAACAGGTAAGTTAAAGCCTTTCCAGTCCGATTCGTTTTTGTAAAAATCTTATTTCTATTGACTTTCTATCTATCTTCGTATTTCCACACTCAGTCACAACTTTGACTATTACATCCCGTTTGCATGCGTGGATTATGTAAAATTTTAAAAAAATAAATTTTTCAGTAATATTACGTTACATTGGTGAACAGAAAAAATAAAATGTATTACAGTGATTTATTTAATTAATTTTTTTTGTGGATTGTTATCCTATGTATATTTCCTGGTAAAACTGTGTACATGTTATGCAGTATTTGTGAAAGAGCAGATATAGAAATCTGCTCTTTGAAGCCGTTATGTGTTGTACAAAGGATTGCTGATGTTGGAAGTATGTTCCATTGTACTATTGTGTGCGGATAACATGAGAATTTGTTAGAATCTTTATTGGTTTGAATTTGTTTATAGTGGTTGGTATGTTTATGTCTTGTTCTGTTGTCTGATGTAATCAGAAGATCTTTAGGATAGATTGCTAAATGTTGGTGTATAGTCTTGTTTGTATTCGTCTCATTTGTAATGTAGGCCACTGTAGGTGGTCGAGCATATTTGAGACAGAGTCGGTATTGTGGTATCTGTTACATGTGTAGCGGGCAACTCTTCGTTGTACCATCTCAATTGGATTGATTTGATTTTTGTTGTGAGGGTCCCAGACACAAGAGCTGTACTCAAGCTTGGGTCTAATTTATGACATATATGCCCTTTCTGTTATTTGTTTGGAAGATAACTTTAGGTTACGTTTTAGAAATTTTAGCTGTCGATTTGCATTTGCTGTTATATTATCTACGTGTTTATTCCATTTAAGATCTGATTGGATGGTTATGCCTAAATATTTTGTAGCTGTTTCAGTTTGTAGATTGTGACCATGAAGGATGTAGTCATAGTTGACTGATTTCTTTTTTGTGTAATTTTGAGTATGGAGCATTTGTCTGGATGGAATGACATTGACCTGTCTTTTTTCCAATTGTACAGCTGAGTCTAAGTCCTGTTGTAAATTGGATGCATCATCTTTGTTTTTTATGTTTCTATACATGATGCTGTCATTTGGGCCAAGGACAGTGTCATGTGGCACTCCAGATGTTGCCCCGATTTTCTCTGATTGTTCTCCATGACTGTATGTGTGCGTTAATGTAAAAAATCACCAATCTATTTCTAGGTATTATTGCTATGCCGTAGTATTGTAATTTATACAGTTACCTTTTGTGAGGGACTTTGTCAAAAGCTTTGGCAAAGTCCATCACAATGACATCAGTTTGTATGTTGTTATTGTTGTCTTTTGCAAGGTCCTGTACGAAAGATATTAATTGTGTCTCACATGAGCGTTTAGATCGAAAGCCATGTTGTAGATCATGTAAATATTGTTTTTTCAAGGTGTTCCATTATTTGACTAGCTATGATATGCTCCATTATTTTGCAAAGTATACATGTATGTTTTTAATTGACATATATTGATTTTGTTATCAGTAAATTAAAACCATACTAAATATTACACATATGTACTTTCAGGGTACTACAATCTGTCGATACTTATATGTAGCAACTTTCTTTCTATGTAGCAACATTCCAACAGCTTCTGCATACGGAGTATATATCTCCCAATTGATACGATATTCCCGGGCTTGTATTTCCTATCATGATTTCCTTGATAGAGGGTTGCAAATCAGAAGGAAGCTATTAAACCAAGAGTTCCAAATGGTGAAGTTGAAATCATCCCTTCGAAAATTTTACGGACGCCATCACGAGTTGGTTGACCGTTATGGATTATCCGTTTCACAGATGATAGCGGATATGTTCCTAATGTCGTAACTACAATCCCGTTCCCTTTTCACGAATGTGACCTACCGAATTAGACTATTTACCGGGTTTGTACTAATATGAGCAACACGACGGGTGCCACATGTGGAGCAGGATCTGCTTACCCTTCTGGATCACCTGAGATCACTCCCAATTTTTGGTGGGGTTCGTGTTGCTAAGTCTTTAGTTTTCTATGTCGCGTTTTGTGTACTATTGTTTGTCTGTTTGTCTTTTTCTTTTTTAGCCATGGCGTTGTCAGTTTTTTTTTCGATTTATGAGTTTGAATGTGACTCTGGTATCTTTCGCCCCTCTTTTACAGTTTGGCATTGCATAAGGTCATGTTTTTCTCTGACTGTTAATGGCGTTTTTACACTAAATCCATTGGATGTTGAATTGTACTGATTGATATTTTAGTCTTAGATACATGATTTTTTTCATTAGTTGTTATTGGCTTTGAACTAGCTGTCAGTAACTGCGAGTACTCTCAGATCTGTAGTTAGTGTCTTTTCGTCTTTGGTATGTACAAGTACCCGTCCACATCACTTTAAGTTTTTATTAGATGTACATCTATTTGTATCCATCTAATGAGTTTTTTTCAACTGATTTTTGTAGTTTGTTCTTATGTTGTACTGTTACACCACTGTCCTAGGTTAGGGGAGGGTTGAGCGCTCACAAACATGTTTAACCCCGCCACATTCTTTATGTGCCTGTCCTAAGTCAGGAGCCTGTAGTTCAGTGGTTGTCGTTCGTTCATGTCTGTCATATTGGTTTTTCGTAAATTGGTTTGTTATAAATTAGGCCGTTAGTTTTCTTAATTGAATTGTTTCATATTTTTCCTGTCGGGGCATTTTATAGCCGACCATATGGTATGGGTTTTTCTCATTGTTGAGGGCCGTACGGTTGCCTTTAATGTCTTACATCAACTTCATTTGAACTTTGGTGGATAGTTGTCTCATTGGCAATCATACCACATCTCCTTATTTTTATATATATGATACTTTAAAAAAAAAAATAACAATAAAATTAATTTAGAAAAAAAGTGGCTCAGCAAATATACAGTTATCGTTTTAATGATACACCGTGACTTTTTTTTTTGTTCAGACGAGGGGAAAATAAAGACATGTACAGATGTATAAAAGTTAACGACGTGTGTGAGGACAGCTTTGTGGTGATAGAGACGGATTTGAGTGAGTTAATTTATTGAAGTAGTAAAGAAAAGAGAAGTACAGAAAAGGATGTACCATTGAAAATATTACCATGGTAGAAAGGGAAATATATTTCGATAGTATCATTGTTTGGTGATCAATTGCTGGTATTTGTTTTATGAAAATTCAGGCTCATTTGTCTGATTGATATTTAATATTATACTTTGAATTTTCTTACAATGCAGTGTTTCCGGTAACCCTTGGTCATTTCTTGTATTTACGTTTGTTTCTAAAGGAATAAATAATACGTTAAATGATTCTTTCTCTGTGTGTATTTTAGTTAATGTATTAGATTGGTTCGTCTGTGTTCAAATAAAATAAAGATTGTGCATTAAATTGATTTTAAAAAACTAACATCAGAAATGTGTCAATCCGTCCTTTTCTCCTTTGGTATTAACATAAAAAGAACGATTCAAATCTCCTGTCTTTGTACTAGATACATAAACTTCACAAAATCCTTTTAAGAACGATATATAGCCGGTCTTTAAGATGTTAGACTAAATATCTTTCAAAAGAATTAGACACCATCCTTTCTATAGTGAAAGCCCACCTTCAGAAATATTCTGATGAGGTATATTCAACCAGCGGTGTCAATCAGATTCGGATTCTTAAAATTCTAAAGATCTACTGCAAAATCTTCAACCACAACCTTTAAAGTAAAAATCAAAGATTTTACTACGTTTTACACTACTATTTTTCGTGCTCGTTTGAAATAACGAAAACATCGTCTATTTAAACATATCACATTCTTTCTTTTCAATTATATCTACAAAAATCAGAATCGTAGGTACACATTATTGTTTTAGATCATGAGAAATCTTACTTTGTGAATAATCGCGATAATTCAAAAAAACAAATATACCGTTGATGATATGATCACAATTCTGTATTCTTTGATCGACAACATATGTGTTGAGTTTTATGGGTTGATATTTCAACAGAGAGTAAGTATTTCAACTGTGCACCCCTATTGCCAACTTCTTTTTGTATGAAAAACATCCTTCAAAGTTATATAATGTCCCTTCTCATATATCGATGATGTTCTATCCATTAAAAACCACATTAAAGTGGGTGATTGCGTCTAAAATCCCAGTTATATCTTAAATCATCCATTACGCTCGTACATGTTCACACTGTATGAACTTCATAAATAGGGATGCGATCCTTAAACAAAAACTGCTGCTTCAACTGAGTTATAAGGCAGAACGACTAAAATCGACACCACATTAGTTTTACGATCACCATTACGAATCGGTTTACCGATACAATGATTCTAGGTCTCCACTCAAAATTGACATGTTTTCCTTGTTTCTGGTCGTTAGATATCAGATTAGTCGTCTGATTTGTACAATTACTTATTGTGTCCTATTTACCAATTGTGACAGTTTAACTTAGTATTGACCTGCATGGCGGGTGATACATACACAGCAGAAGACGCTTATCCTGTGGACACATATGATTTCGATCCTTTTGGAGTTCATGCGATTCCCTCCGGTTTGTTTTTTAAACTTGATTTATGATCCAAATCGATTTATAAATTTTGGACATCGATTAACCACTATATCCTTATTCAATGGACGCCTATACATTCAAAATATGTACGGGATGTAATGTAATGTTATTCTAAGAACACACTATCAAGTCCGTTAAACTGCATAGCTTTGTTTAACATATTGTTTTGTTATATTAAGCATTTCGTATTCCAAATAGTTAAATTTTATGGTGATTTATTTGTATCATAGTCAAACTGGATTCTCCTCCAAATTTGTGTGACATCTGTAGTCCTGAGAAACTTATCAGCAAGCCGCAAGTATGGGTCGGTAAGTACGCATTACATGTTGCGATAAAAAAATATGTTTCTGGTTTCACTGTTCTTTCAATGTCTCTCTTTTGTTACACTCTTAGTCTATTTGTATCTAAAAAATCTTTGGCTTTCAAAACATAGGCTCTCTACGTTTGTTAATGTTAACTAAACATTTATACGCAATCAGACGTTTTCGCACTTTTCAATTTAACTTAGTTACTACCTTTTAATCAATGTTTTTGGAGTTGGAATGATGATACTGGAAGGTGGCATCTAACAAGCAGTGAAAGTTAGACATTGTATCAGATTTGTATATTCACAGCAACTTTATATGCAACTTAGGAATCCACATTGTTGATGAAGGCGTTAATGCACAAGTTAAATGTAAAACGTACACAGCAATTAACATGAGATGTTTTTTTTTAATTAAACCAGTCTATATTTACCAACTACCTCGACATAACTATATAATTAAAGACATGCAAATTACAAGTTTTCATTTAAACCCGCCTAGGATCGAACTCACTACCATCTGCTCTCTTCTTTTAAAGCTATACCCATACATTTCGATATCATGATTTCAACACCACATGCAAATGTAACTGTAATTTTAAGAGATATTTCGATCAATATTTATCAAGAAAAACCAAAAGTAACCATTTGATGACCTAAAATTGCTAACATCCACGTCATTTAGACTCCGGTCGAAAATGGTCTCATTGGCAATTATATCACAGCTCCTTGTTTGTATATAGCTTCATAAAAAACTTAATACACATATATAACAATATTACTTTTAACACATTGTTTTTATTGTAGAGCAATTATCTCTTATACATGCATAATAATAAACATCGTGTTTTTTCTTCCTATTAACTAAACATTGATTTTATTTTGAACAGAGTTTCGGCATTCCTATTTTATTTATTGTTTCAGCAAAAGAGAACACTTGTGAGTATGGCTCAGTAAACTTAAGTTTTTTTTATTTGAATAATTACTTTAAAATTCCAGAAGTAATCTTAGTATTAGTAAAGATTTTTTCATAGATGCACATTTTTTGAAAATAATCTTAATTTTGTGTTTTTATTATAATAACTACAATTATAAGTTAATAAATAACATCGTTCTATGATAAAAAAAAAAAAAGGCATTTCGTCGATAAAAGTTCCCGAACCGTCTTAAAAGGGTGCATCAATCAACTATTGTACGTGTCGTGTCCTTCTATTTTTTTAATGCATTTTAAATTATCTAAAATATTTTTCAATTTTCTCTTTTGGAAAAAAAATGAAGTGTAGCAATTAAACTTTTGCTATTATTTTTAGTGCTAGGATGTGATGTACCAAAAAACTGTCCTCTAAATAGTCGTTTAGACAGTCCATGTAATGGATGTGAAGAGAACCAACCTAATGATGACATATACTGCAGTACTTGTAAAAAAGAGGAAAGAAAAAAAGGGAAGGGTAAAAGGAAAAATTCCGGAGAGAAAAAGAAATCAAACTATGGTTCATATTCTAGAAGATATTACAGAAGCTAAGCATACAAGGAAAACTTTTTGCTGAACCACTGTAATGTTTCAATAGAAAACGCAAATTACTGAAAATAAATATCAGCAATTATTTTTTTAGTTATCCTTTTCATATAGACGACTTTCGAAATCGTGAACTTTCCCGTATTTTTCCTATGTCCAAATGCTTATGTTATTACGTCACAGTAAGAACCGAATGTTCGATTACGTCGTTAACGCCGATTGACCCCAGGTCAACCGCTGTAACTCATTCATAAAAAACAACTCGAGATTGGTGTATGTCAACTCAATATTGACTAGTGCCCTGAAACACCATTATAATTTTTGCTGTGTGGTTTTACTCCCTTCTCATCATTCATTTTCATTCTGAAAATCTTGGAAGTGATTTGATTTTAAACAAAAATTAGGATTTAAATTTAGAAAATAAATCCCTATAACAAAACAAAAATAACTTTGGTATATTCTTATTGTTTGTATGGTCTTTGTTTTTACCCTCTATTTTCCAGTACATTGGGAAATGATACTTTGCTATTGGGAACATACTCTCTTTTCCTCGTCCATTTTAATTTGATTCCACTTTTGCTATGTTTCGGCTCTAAAATGTTATACTCTGTTTGACTTTAAAATAAAACATAAAGATAGCAAAAGTGTTAGTTGAAAAATTAAGTCTTTGCTTTACTTTAAACAATCCCAACATTGCAGTAGATAGATGTACATTCGATCCACCTATCTGGTATATATTATCATTCCACTGATCGATGTCTTCATTCTTTTGTCGACGATTTTTGACGTAGTTCTGTGAACATGTCTCGATTTACCTTTAGCAGGACCGTTCAGACTCCAAATAAAAGAAAGACAGCAATAGAGGGATAATAAACCAACCGGTTCTAAAAAAAGATAAGACTATCTTATACCACAAAGAAATTTGGAAAGGAATAGTCATGCTTTATTTCATTCAAACTGAACAGTTCGAATTAAAAAAAACAACATCGTGGCTCCTAAGACCATACATTCTTCAAAAGACACATTTTCCTAAATTGTATATTGTACAACGTTTACATCACTTGCAACTTCATCTTTATTAAAAAACACAAATGCTTCTGTGTTTAATATTATTTCTGGTCTAAGTCACACGTATGTTGAAATCTGCCTCATGTCATAAATATTATGCATATTCACTAAACATTTCCGCAGTATAGTTTATTATTATAATTTAACTACATCTTAAGGTAGATTAACTGTATACCACCATCTTGGATTGTAAAATAACAATATACAATGGATCTAGTCATTTGCTTAAATCTGCAAATTTTGAGACAGATTGGCAAAAAATGTGTCAGACTGTTTATTTGAATATGGAAAAATAAATGATATATTGCACTGTTTTTATAAATACCAAATATTTGTTTTTGTTGAAACCAATTTTTCAACTTAGCCATTTTTTTGAAAAAAAAACTATAACCGTAACAATTTCATAAAGGAATTATAAAGAAATTTTCATTTTTTCGCTTGCAGCAAGAAAACAAGTTCGGTGACACCATTTTTTCTTCTTATTTTCTTAAAAAATATATGTTAAACATATCTTTTTCTATTGATTTCAAAATTCTATCTCATTGATTTCTATTTATTCAAAAAAGGTGCTTTTTTCATGAACAATTTTGTACGACTTGAACCTAGAAAAATAGCACGGTGACTTTGAAAAAAACCTAGTGAAATCTACATTTTGGCACAGCATAAGAAAAATCTATCTGAGGGAATCTATACCGATGATCCACCTTAAAAATGAAGTTGCATGGAATAAAAATCGAATCTTATAAGAGTAAGTCCATGTTATATTCAATGGTGACAAAATGAGTACTTCACTTTATTTCAATAGGCATTTGATATTTGATTTTGTATTATTAACATCTATAGATATTTATAGATCTCAACAATCTCATTTGTTTTGTGATTAGATATGTACTTTTAGCTTTAATCGCTTTTTTCCGCTTTCCTAAGTCTTAGTCACATATTTAAGCATACACCAATGGTTACTTCAGCTAGTAATGCATAGAGGAAATTTTTACCTTGCTTATGTCATAGAACTGTACATGGTTCAGTTTTATTAAAAGGAAATAATCCATCCATCGGTTGTGTGCGTGAATGACGACTTACTTTTTCAGAAAATGGTCTTAGACAGTAATATCAATATTTCTTCAATTTGCATGTAAATTTAAAAAAACAGAACATACATCGGTGTCTTCTTGTGTTTGTTGTTGTTGTAATGTTGCTGTTTCATTAATTTTATAAATAGTCGTGTCCATGAACCAATCCCAGCAAAACTTACTAATACCATTGTCTATAGGAGATTTTATTTCTTGTCTGTATCGAGTTTCTATAATGATTTTCCATGTATCGCTGTGTATACTTTATTTGCAATTTATATGCATTTAAATGTTTGTCTTCAATTACAGTTTTATTCTGTTATTGTTCTGTTTATGCATGATTTGGTGATTCATATATATAGCATGTTTCGCTTATATATATTTACTTTAATTATATATATTATCTTTAACTGTTAAAACCTGATTTGACCTTTTCTCGGTAGATTGTTCTGTGGTTAATTATAAACTTTTACACATCTATTTATTTGAAAGGATTTTCCCAACGTAAATGATCTGTGGTAATCAACTGGTCGTCTATGAATTTCTTTAATTTGATGATATTACACCTGGTGTTTCGGATATCATTTAGGTCAAGTTCGACCAAGGCCGTTCATCCTCGTCAGGTGCCCTGGCCTAATTTATTTTTATTTACTATAACATTTGATTTTAATTACTTTTTTAATTGTTATCAATATGTTTCTATCGTGTAACGTATCAAATGCAGTTACATTTTGGGGCACTACACCTGGTGAATCTGTAATACACTTATAGTTTAATGTCCATTCTTTATCTAATTACATTATAATTTTGCCGAGGTCAGGTACTCCTTCACATTCTTGTGTTTACGATAAGCAATGATAGGCGGTCTGGGAAATAGATGTTGAGCGGTCTCGTCGTCTTCAATCAAATGCCAGTGTTTTCTTATTCGTCTTCCCAACTGCTTAAATAAAGGATTACATTTCGTTGCTATGACTAGTGGTGGACTTTTCTGTTTGTTTTTTGTTTTATAACATAATGTGTTTTGCCTACTTTTTCGTAGTGCTTTATTAACTAGTGGATTAATTTCATTTTCCTTGTGTCCCCTGAGTATAAGCTTGTGTTTAAATAGTTTGATCTGTGTGTCGAGGTCATCTTTGTTATTACACTTAATTTTATTAATTTTATGAAGTTTTGGGAGGAAGTATAGTCTACCCAATCTTTTTTCATCGTCATTTTTTAGGAACTTTAGTGTGACATCATCAATGTAGGAGTTCTTGTGTAAACGAGAAATGATTGTGTTGATACTGTTCACGATCTCCGTTGTGTGAGATTCATTAATTGTTTCATAGTGTATATTGTCATTTAGCT